GTTCTCATGCTCAAGCATGGATTTTGTGCTGAAGCCTAATTGCTTGTTCCGGTTAAAATTAATAAAAATATCTTATTTCGTCAATGATTTGGAAAAAGTTTGAAGTGACTTATTAAAACCAAATATTATTTTCAATGTTTACATTTAATTGACTTTTTGATTGTTTGACATGATTTAAGTGAGTTACAAGAAAGTTGGTTTGAGAACAGAATCCATGCTTGAGGGCTCGAATGAAATTAAGGGGAGGTTACTGTATGTATTTAAAACTAGTGGAACTCTCTAGTGTTTTGCCTATGTGACAGAGATCCTTAAAGAACAGTGTCTCTTACACCAAGTTATGGCTTTTTCTAAATAAATAATAATGATTCCAGTAAAACTTATTTTTTGGCATTGCACTAGCCCAGAACATCACAGTTTATAATGTACAGAACCTGCTGAACAATTGGAACATATTACATGTCTTAGCCAGGTTTTAGAGGAATTAATACAAAAAATATACCTGGCAATATAACAGGTACTTGTAGGTGGGAAATAAAACATACATATAAGAAAACAAAAATATTCTGAAAACATGATTTATTTTACCTGTAACAGGTAAACTGTGTTACTATAAATAGAAGCTACAACATAGCGATAACAATTAACAGTGTATAACAAGAAACACTACTTTAAAACAAACACATCAAATCACAAAATTTTGTCAAAATTGAGTCTTTTGTCACAGAATTACGTAACAAATCATATACAGTAAAGCTCTTTTGAATACATAGCTCAAATTGAGAGAAAACAGACTGACGAAGCCGCAGCTGCAGCAATAGTCTGCTTCTTTCCCCGAAAGATGATGCTGCATTAAAAAAAATGTTTTCTACACAAAACACCCCAGTTTTTATATGATTACAAAAATATATGATTACAAAAAGCGACATCATTCAATCATTTTCATTTTGACTTGTTAATTGCTTGTTCATGAAGGGATAGTTCCAAAACATCTTTCGACGACTGGAAATCGGGAAGGTTCTGACCAAATGGGTTGAAACAAGTATCCTTTTTGGAACACTCGGGTAGGTCTGTACCCTAAACCATCAACACAATCTACAATCTGACAGTAACCTCTAGTTCAAGATCCACTTTTTTACTTGACTAGGCTATGCATCAACACAGAGCTTCAAACAACTTCCAAATACTCCTGAAGCTTTGTTCATAAAATCATACTAATTGGGAACAAGTTAAGATTCCTTATTATATAAACCACAGCATGGAAAAATACTTCAATAGATTAAATTGCACGTTACATATTTACATGTATCAGATATTTATGTAACACACTATAACTGTCTGAGCAAAACTGATAAAACAATTTGTATTTGAAATGTTCAGTAACATGAAGTCATATGAAATATGTGATACATGGGTCATTTTCATTTATTGCGGTCCAAACGGTTGGACCAGAGTTGTTCAATTATGAAATAAGGTCAGATCTGGAAATCTGATGCTGCTTTCAGGCAAAGCCTTACATGGCCTGCATAAACATTTGCAGGTCCGCTACTATTAATACCAGAAATGTTACAGACAAACCGTTTGTTCCACATAAACAACAGGGCCCTGGTGTCATTAAACTGACCCTTTGATCAACAGAGGAATATCACGCTACATACATATGTACCCAGAGCACAATGTATGTTTCTCCCCTAGGCCCCTAGAGACAACAGGAACCAAATGGTTGCACTGTTGAACACCTTAAAGGATCTAGGGGACCAAGGATAGTTGTTCCAAATTTGAGTATTTGAAAAAAAATCAAAAAAATCTACAGGTATCAAACTCATTCTCATACTTCACCATTGTAGCTACCCAGTGAGAGATGATAACCTTCACAAGGGAAGCAACTCACAAGAAAATCTCCATTTTGCCATTTTACCTTCTATACACAAGGGAGCATACCGATATTTTTTTTTTTTAAAAGACAGCACTAATGTGGAACTCTTCTTCACAATAATGACTGATGCAGTGGTGCTGTCCACCTTAAGTAATCTGTAAAAGTAGAGAGGCAATCTATGGTAAAGTGGACTTGGACAGTTGATTGAGGACATATGTATAGGGTACCAGGTACACAAGACCTAATACAGTTACTAATCAAGTAATTAATAAATGACATAATTTTACACATATCTCATGGACTTGTCCAAGGTTTCATCAAATTATAACCTTATTCTAGTTGGTCAATCACTGTACAATGCCGATTAGAAGTTGACAGTACTGAGGTCATAGTCAGTCTCTGTGCGTGTGTGGTAGAGAGCCACTTCCTCCAGAAAATGGACGTCAATGGGGCTCCGGCGGGGAGGTACCTTGGCATCAGACTGCATGCGCTGAACTCTATCTACAAAACAGACAGTAACAAACTTATTTGTGAAATCATAAACACCTGCCGAAAAAGTTTATTTTAAAATTTCTACAATTTTTTAAAGATATTGTCCGAAGTCAATCAAACAATAAGAATTAACTAGAAGATATCTAATAGTTTTCTGTGGAAATCATTCACGTTTCACCACATAAGTGAAAATAATGAAGTATTCTGCAACATTTCAAACTTTCTGGGTATATTATTAATTTATTTTGTGTTCTGTATTTTCATTGGTCTAAATCCAAGAACGTGTTACATACGTATATTTACCTAAATATTTTATGAAAAGCTGGAGACAACACCAATACAAACATATAAGTTAACCCTTTCACCACTGTAGACTAGTATGGACTCATCCAGATCAAGGCATGGTAGGATTTAGTTAAATTACATAGGGATGAAAAGGTTGAAGTACTTCAAAACAGATTAAGGGGATACAAACTCCCATGATAAAGAATGTTTAAAATAATACCAATGTTAATTAAACAAATTATCATAAAAATTGCTGGAGAGATATCACAATGGACAAATAATTATGCATTTATATATTAGTTTTTAAATATCACAGTTGTGACATAACCCTTAAATAAATACTAATTTACTTACAGCCTGATCTTGACATAGAATACAAACCTAGTGTCTCGAGGAGATGTAAGAAGGAATCAAGTGGTGCGAAAGACATGGACTCACGGTTACTGCTCAGACTCAGGTTGTCCACTGTAAAGTACAACACAATAATGTAGATCAACAAATCACAAAATCAACTAAAGGGAAGTAACTCTACGCAGTATGATAAACCAAAAAGCAAGAAATGCTGCCCATGTTATCCAATAATTTTAAATCTGATGTGTGCACAATTAAATAAAACAAATATGTTTTTGGTAGTAGGAGATATTGTTGTTATGCTGTGTATACAAGAAGTAAAATCCCAAGTTATCCAATAATTTTAAATCTGATGAATGCACAATTGAATAAAAGAAACATGTTTTTGGTACGAGATATTGTTGCCATGCTGTGTGTACACAAACAATCGCTGTATCACTGATTTGAGACTTACCACTTCTGCCAGGTCTTGTCTGCAGACCTCGTACAGAGTCCATGGCCTTGTCTGAGGCTCCAGTAGATAAGGCTCCTATAGTAAATAGAAATCACAAATGATAGACTTGTTCATCACCAACACTGGCAGTAGGAACAGTACAGAATATGAACTAACAGAAGTTTTAGACAACCATATGCTGTCTATAAATCATTGTTTTATGCATAGTGGTTTTTAGCTGGTGGGCTTAGCCCTGCAGCTAATGGGGTTTAGATGGAACCCTATTAATTTTAAGGAATGATAGATAAGCTGTTGATTTTAAATTAATTTATTTCGAAATTCGTCCTCATAATCATGCCTGTGTATATGGATGTACTGCTGTGATAACAACGATATCACCAGCGTAGTGTATTTAGTGTCCCTGCAGTGTGGTGTCGGTCGTCTACTACGTCTGCTCACTATACCCCTGCAGTGTGGTGTCGGTCGTCTACTACGTCTGCTCACTATACCCCTGCAGTGTGGTGTCGGTCGTCTATGTCTGCTCACTATACCCCTGCAGTGTGATGTCGGCCGTCTACTACGTCTGCTCACTATACCCCTGCAGTGTGGTGTCGGCCGTCTACTACGTCTGCTCACTATACCCCTGCAGTGTGGTGTCGGTCGTCTANTCTATATATAGCAAGTGTGACCTTGGCCTTGACCTTGGATCCCTGAAATACAATGATGTCCGAAGTATAATCATACTTGACCTTTGTATAAAGTTTGACCAAAATCTGTCAAAGAATTAAGTTGCTTAGTGTTTACATTGAATCGGGATGGGACAGGACGGGACAGGACAGGATGATTTTCTATATATAGCAAGTGTGACCTTGGCCTTGACCTTGGATCCCTGAAATACAATGATGTCCGAAGTATAATCATACTTGACCTTTGTATAAAGTTTGACCAAAATCTGTCAAAGAATTAAGTTGCTAAGTTTTTACATTGAATCGGGACGGGACGCGACAGGACGGGACGGGACAGACATGGGTAACACTATATGCCCCCCCCCCCCNCCACTGTCTAAAACTGTAACTACGAATTAAAAAGGTTTTACCTACATCAATTTAGCTTTCTTAAGTCACTTTTGAAAAGAATACCATACCTTTGGAGATGCTTATGAGCAAATGATAAAAAGGAAATGAACATAAAAAGATATCAAATCAAATGTTCTGTGAGTAAAAACGTTCTGTGAGTAAAAACACAATAATGCCAGGCAGGGATTTGAACCTTGGACTTCCAATCACAATATAGTCGTTCTGACTAGCTGAGCTACCTGGGCCCGTATTCATAAAACTGTTCTCATGCTCAAGCATGGATTTTGTGCTGAAGCCTAATTGCTTGTTCCGGTTAAAATTAATAAAAATATCTTATTTCGTCAATGATTTGGAAAAAGTTTGAAGTGACTTATTAAAACCAAATATTATTTTCAATGTTTACATTTAATTGACTTTTTGATTGTTTGACATGATTTAAGTGAGTTACAAGAAAGTTGGTTTGAGAACAGAATCCATGCTTGAGGGCTCGAATGAAATTAAGGGGAGGTTACTGTATGTATTTAAAACTAGTGGAACTCTCTAGTGTTTTGCCTATGTGACAGAGATCCTTAAAGAACAGTGTCTCTTACACCAAGTTATGGCTTTTTCTAAATAAATAATAATGATTCCAGTAAAACTTATTTTTTGGCATTGCACTAGCCCAGAACATCACAGTTTATAATGTACAGAACCTGCTGAACAATTGGAACATATTACATGTCTTAGCCAGGTTTTAGAGGAATTAATACAAAAAATATACCTGGCAATATAACAGGTACTTGTAGGTGGGAAATAAAACATACATATAAGAAAACAAAAATATTCTGAAAACATGATTTATTTTACCTGTAACAGGTAAACTGTGTTACTATAAATAGAAGCTACAACATAGCGATAACAATTAACAGTGTATAACAAGAAACACTACTTTAAAACAAACACATCAAATCACAAAATTTTGTCAAAATTGAGTCTTTTGTCACAGAATTACGTAACAAATCATATACAGTAAAGCTCTTTTGAATACATAGCTCAAATTGAGAGAAAACAGACTGACGAAGCCGCAGCTGCAGCAATAGTCTGCTTCTTTCCCCGAAAGATGATGCTGCATTAAAAAAAATGTTTTCTACACAAAACACCCCAGTTTTTATATGATTACAAAAATATATGATTACAAAAAGCGACATCATTCAATCATTTTCATTTTGACTTGTTAATTGCTTGTTCATGAAGGGATAGTTCCAAAACATCTTTCGACGACTGGAAATCGGGAAGGTTCTGACCAAATGGGTTGAAACAAGTATCCTTTTTGGAACACTCGGGTAGGTCTGTACCCTAAACCATCAACACAATCTACAATCTGACAGTAACCTCTAGTTCAAGATCCACTTTTTTACTTGACTAGGCTATGCATCAACACAGAGCTTCAAACAACTTCCAAATACTCCTGAAGCTTTGTTCATAAAATCATACTAATTGGGAACAAGTTAAGATTCCTTATTATATAAACCACAGCATGGAAAAATACTTCAATAGATTAAATTGCACGTTACATATTTACATGTATCAGATATTTATGTAACACACTATAACTGTCTGAGCAAAACTGATAAAACAATTTGTATTTGAAATGTTCAGTAACATGAAGTCATATGAAATATGTGATACATGGGTCATTTTCATTTATTGCGGTCCAAACGGTTGGACCAGAGTTGTTCAATTATGAAATAAGGTCAGATCTGGAAATCTGATGCTGCTTTCAGGCAAAGCCTTACATGGCCTGCATAAACATTTGCAGGTCCGCTACTATTAATACCAGAAATGTTACAGACAAACCGTTTGTTCCACATAAACAACAGGGCCCTGGTGTCATTAAACTGACCCTTTGATCAACAGAGGAATATCACGCTACATACATATGTACCCAGAGCACAATGTATGTTTCTCCCCTAGGCCCCTAGAGACAACAGGAACCAAATGGTTGCACTGTTGAACACCTTAAAGGATCTAGGGGACCAAGGATAGTTGTTCCAAATTTGAGTATTTGAAAAAAAATCAAAAAAATCTACAGGTATCAAACTCATTCTCATACTTCACCATTGTAGCTACCCAGTGAGAGATGATAACCTTCACAAGGGAAGCAACTCACAAGAAAATCTCCATTTTGCCATTTTACCTTCTATACACAAGGGAGCATACCGATATTTTTTTTTTTTAAAAGACAGCACTAATGTGGAACTCTTCTTCACAATAATGACTGATGCAGTGGTGCTGTCCACCTTAAGTAATCTGTAAAAGTAGAGAGGCAATCTATGGTAAAGTGGACTTGGACAGTTGATTGAGGACATATGTATAGGGTACCAGGTACACAAGACCTAATACAGTTACTAATCAAGTAATTAATAAATGACATAATTTTACACATATCTCATGGACTTGTCCAAGGTTTCATCAAATTATAACCTTATTCTAGTTGGTCAATCACTGTACAATGCCGATTAGAAGTTGACAGTACTGAGGTCATAGTCAGTCTCTGTGCGTGTGTGGTAGAGAGCCACTTCCTCCAGAAAATGGACGTCAATGGGGCTCCGGCGGGGAGGTACCTTGGCATCAGACTGCATGCGCTGAACTCTATCTACAAAACAGACAGTAACAAACTTATTTGTGAAATCATAAACACCTGCCGAAAAAGTTTATTTTAAAATTTCTACAATTTTTTAAAGATATTGTCCGAAGTCAATCAAACAATAAGAATTAACTAGAAGATATCTAATAGTTTTCTGTGGAAATCATTCACGTTTCACCACATAAGTGAAAATAATGAAGTATTCTGCAACATTTCAAACTTTCTGGGTATATTATTAATTTATTTTGTGTTCTGTATTTTCATTGGTCTAAATCCAAGAACGTGTTACATACGTATATTTACCTAAATATTTTATGAAAAGCTGGAGACAACACCAATACAAACATATAAGTTAACCCTTTCACCACTGTAGACTAGTATGGACTCATCCAGATCAAGGCATGGTAGGATTTAGTTAAATTACATAGGGATGAAAAGGTTGAAGTACTTCAAAACAGATTAAGGGGATACAAACTCCCATGATAAAGAATGTTTAAAATAATACCAATGTTAATTAAACAAATTATCATAAAAATTGCTGGAGAGATATCACAATGGACAAATAATTATGCATTTATATATTAGTTTTTAAATATCACAGTTGTGACATAACCCTTAAATAAATACTAATTTACTTACAGCCTGATCTTGACATAGAATACAAACCTAGTGTCTCGAGGAGATGTAAGAAGGAATCAAGTGGTGCGAAAGACATGGACTCACGGTTACTGCTCAGACTCAGGTTGTCCACTGTAAAGTACAACACAATAATGTAGATCAACAAATCACAAAATCAACTAAAGGGAAGTAACTCTACGCAGTATGATAAACCAAAAAGCAAGAAATGCTGCCCATGTTATCCAATAATTTTAAATCTGATGTGTGCACAATTAAATAAAACAAATATGTTTTTGGTAGTAGGAGATATTGTTGTTATGCTGTGTATACAAGAAGTAAAATCCCAAGTTATCCAATAATTTTAAATCTGATGAATGCACAATTGAATAAAAGAAACATGTTTTTGGTACGAGATATTGTTGCCATGCTGTGTGTACACAAACAATCGCTGTATCACTGATTTGAGACTTACCACTTCTGCCAGGTCTTGTCTGCAGACCTCGTACAGAGTCCATGGCCTTGTCTGAGGCTCCAGTAGATAAGGCTCCTATAGTAAATAGAAATCACAAATGATAGACTTGTTCATCACCAACACTGGCAGTAGGAACAGTACAGAATATGAACTAACAGAAGTTTTAGACAACCATATGCTGTCTATAAATCATTGTTTTATGCATAGTGGTTTTTAGCTGGTGGGCTTAGCCCTGCAGCTAATGGGGTTTAGATGGAACCCTATTAATTTTAAGGAATGATAGATAAGCTGTTGATTTTAAATTAATTTATTTCGAAATTCGTCCTCATAATCATGCCTGTGTATATGGATGTACTGCTGTGATAACAACGATATCACCAGCGTAGTGTATTTAGTGTCCCTGCAGTGTGGTGTCGGTCGTCTACTACGTCTGCTCACTATACCCCTGCAGTGTGGTGTCGGTCGTCTATGTCTGCTCACTATACCCCTGCAGTGTGATGTCGGCCGTCTACTACGTCTGCTCACTATACCCCTGCAGTGTGGTGTCGGCCGTCTACTACGTCTGCTCACTATACCCCTGCAGTGTGGTGTCGGTCGTCTA